CACGTGTCCGTTCCTGGGTTTTGTCTGGTTGGCCTGAGCACTGCCCTAGTCCTGAGTTTCAGAGTTTCTGGTCCAAAAGGAACGAGCTGTCCCTTTCTCAGGGTTGTCTGCTTGGGGAAACAGAGTTGTCATTCCCACCTCAATGAGGACTAGGGTCTTAGAATCCCTCCACGAGGGTCATCCTGGCATTGTTCGTATGAAGGCTCTTGCGCGCAGCCACTTGTGGTGGCCTGGTTTAGATAAAGATATTGAGGCTAAGGTGCATGCATGCCACCTGTGCCAACGATCTCGCCCAGAGATGCCCCAAGCTCCCGTGCATAGATGGGAGGAAACACAGTCCCCATGGTCTAGGGTGCACATTGACTACGCTGGGCCCTTTCAGGGCCAGTTCTTCTTGGTCCTTGTTGACAGCCATTCGAAATGGCTTGAGGTTGTACCTGTCTCATCCACCACCACTGCAAAGACTATTCAGGTACTGAGGGGGATTTTTGCTGCACACGGGCTGCCAGATGTCATTGTGTCCGACAACGGCCCTCAATTCACTTCCTCCGAATTCCAAGCTTTCTTACAGGCAAACATGATTCGTCATGCCACGTCTGCACCCTTCCACCCGTCCACCAACGGTATGGCTGAACGTATGGTGCGCATCACAAAGGACGCATTGAAAAGACTCACCTACGGGGACTGGCATCACAGGTTGGCTGACTTTCTCCTTTCTTATCGCACCACACCGTCCACTTCTACAGGGAGAAGCCCAGCTGAACTTCGTTGGGGGCATCAACTTACTACTAAACTTGACCGGTTGCATCCGGACAGACTGCCTTCATCTACCTCACATCCTAGGGCACCTAGACAATTACTTGTGGGTGCCCCGGTTTGGGCTCGCAATTACGGGCCTGGTCATACATGGGTCCCCGCTTCTATTTTCCAGGGTCACAGGTCCTCTCTCCTACGAGGTAGCCCTGGACAACGGTCGTGTCCTGCGTCGGCACATCGACCAACTCCGCCCTCGGCGGGACTTTTCAGATGAGACTCCTGGGTCTTTTCCAGGGGGGGAGGGGGACCCTTTGGAGCAAAGGGAAGGGCACGAGCTGCTGCCCATCTCCACTGATGGAGCCACAAACGGCCCATCCCAGGGTTCCGCGAGAGCTCCGAACAAGAATTCTATGAGCCTACCCAACTACCAGGCATCCACGCCTACTCCAGCCAGGGAGTCACCCCGGGGCATACTCACTTTCCACACACATCACACAGCACTCCAGTCACGGAGGATACCCGGGGGCATCCCAACAAATCATTCCCCGCAAGAGAACTGGCACACAATTCCCAAGGTTGGCCTGACCTTACCCCAAATCCTACAGGGGGTCAAACATACACAGAGTTAGTCGAGGAACCAAGTCCCGACTACAACAACCCTAGCACAAATCAGGGAGTAACTGAGTTTTGGGAACGTACAGAAACCCACACAAGCCCGGACACAGAACGGGGTTCAGGGAATGGACAGCCTCCTGACAGGTCTTGGACGGACCTAGGAGGTTCAACAGAGACGCCCAGCAGTGGCTATCACTTCAAGGGGCCCGAGGGTCTACAGCTAGGCAGGTCAACCAGGTCACAAAGTGACAGAAGCCCTGGCCTGACGAGCCCGGTGGGCGAGCAAGCAGGCCAGGCATCGGGGCACAGTCCTTGGGAAGGCACCAAGGCAAATAAGGAGAACAGGCTCACATCTCCCTCCAGTCAGGGAACCATGCTAGTAACCGAGAGCTGAGAAGGTCACAGAGAGCAAAGAAGTCTCCTAAATACTTAGAGGATTACATAACATTGCTGGCTAAACAAAAGCCAGGTAACGATAGGAGCACTGAGAAGCGAACACTGCATAAAATAAATGATTATATGTTGGTAGTAGTTTTAGCCCGGGGGAAAGGGGTGTTATGTCCCGAGCCTTGCAAACGGCTCGGGCGTTTGCAGGCAGTCCCGGGCAGGTGCAAAGCTGCCCGGGACCAGACAGGCTGTCGCCAGCGCCGTGCGCATGCGCGGGTGCTGGCGCGGGAAAAGTATCGCATTTACCCGGGAGTTGCCTATATAAGAGGCTGCGAGGTTTTGGGAGCTGCTGAAGCCATCTACTTGTAAGCTGAACGCAGAATAAAGGAAACTGAGAACTTCAACTGCTTCTCGTGTCTGCTTTCCGCCAAGGACTCAACAATGACAGTTCCCAATATAAAATCAAGAATGTTTTAAATGAAATTTGTTTGTTCTAATAGCATTTGGGCACTCTTATTAGTTTAACGAACAGAAGGACGAGGGGTGACATGATAACAGTGTTCCAATATCTCAGGGGCTGCCCTAAAGAAGAGGGAGTCAAGCTCTTCTCCAAAGGGCCTGAAGGCAGGATGAGAAGCAACGGATGGAAACTAACTAACTAATTAACCAGTGGAACAACCTTCCTCTAGAAGCTGTGAATGCTCCAACACTGGAAGTGTTTAAGAAGAGATTGGACAGCCATTTGTCTGAAATGGTATAGGGTTTCCTGCCTGAGCAGTGGGTTGGACTAGATGACCTCCAAGGTCCCTTCCAATATCATCATCATCATCATCACTATTATTATTTTCCATACCATTAATTTTAATAAAAATAATTATATACCCCAATTTTCTAAATTGTATAAATTTCCAATTCTGCTCTGAGGGCAGCAGTTGAAGTCCTTTCATCCACCCTCAAGATACTTCTCAGATATGTGATCTGATTTCTTCTAATAGTGATATAAATTAAATCCCAAAGTTCAGCTCAATATAAGTGCATAATAGAACGGTGGTATTTTGTATTTAATAATTCATTCTAAGGAAGCAGCATACCTATGAGGTTTTTTTTTAAAAAAATGAACAGTGCATTCACTTGTGCCTTCTAAGTGAGTTCCTTTGATGTTGAGGGAGCCCAGATCCAGTCCCAGAGAAAATTCCCCCAGGTAAGGAAAGGTGTGAATTTGCTCTGTTGCCTTCTCAACAATTAGCCCTATATGGTGTCATTTTCCAAAGACTATCACTTTTGACTTTGACTCATCTAAAATCAGATAATTATTATGAGAATAGGATCCAAGTCCTCTGAACAGCACGTGCAACCCAAATGTCATATTGGCATCACCTTTTTTTTCAATTTTGGTACATATCAATCCTACTTCTCATGGCTCCATTGAGCCCCAAACACACTCTCAAGCAAATGAACAAAAATGGGATGGAAGGGACCATGGAGTGTTCCTCAATTATTTTCAAACCTAAATTTAAGTCATAGTCTCCATTTATTTTATTATTCTCTACCTTACTTAACTTGATTACTAAGCACCAAGTCAGTTTGCATCTGTGCTTTCCTCATTACCGTTGCTGCACCCACTCATTACACAAAGTAATTGTCCGTTTCTTGGGGAATAGCAAAAGTTTGACATTATTTCAAGGTTTCAAGGCACTTTTATTGATGCAGCTTCCACAATTTCCTCATTAATTGCTTTCTGTGGCTCTTGGGCAAAGAACCACATTAAAAATTAATTTCCTTTCTTCTTAGGGCTGCCAATTTTGACATTTTCAGTCTCACTGGTCTCCTACTCTTTAGTGCACCTGTGGTTAATTGATTTCTAATTTTGCATGTTCATCCTCTATCAGGTCCTGTATCAAGGCTATTTGATGGGAGTCCACAGAAATTGGCCCCAACCCTCAACGCAAAGCTTAGGAGATGTGGCTCAACAACTACCTTTTCCACTCATTGCCGGGAACTTTCAACCCATTGCTCACCAACATCCAGGCTCAATATTGACTCCCTGAGAGACCCTCCAAGGATGCTTTTTCACTGCAACAATTCTTTGCATCTTGATTACTTAACATTTTCTGTATTACATTTCTGCATCTAACACAGAAATTGTTAAATCTTTCAGTGGTTTTTTTTTTTTCTATTCTTCTCACCCTTCACTGTAAGGATCCTTTCTCAGAGCAATTGTATCACAGATTGGGAGAAGAAAAAAAGATAGAAGAGAAAAAGTTGGTGAAAAATAGGCAAATGTTGAAAAGTCATGTTTAGTTTGTGAAACTAGGATGATTTTATATGTAACTAAGTCTGAGTGTTTTGTTTTGTGAAAACAGATTTTAAGTTACTGTGTTATTCAGGGCATGGGAAAATGCTTGTGCTTCACTCTGAAACCATCTCTAAATCTCTACAGCATCCATGGCAACTGGATGCGACACCTGAGAACCAACAGAACTTACAGAATAACTGAGTTGGCAGGGACCTGCTAGTCCAATCCCATGCTGAAGCTGGAAAGCCCTACACCGTTCCAGACAAATGGCTTTCCAAATTATTCTTAAAAACCTCCAGTGATGGAGCACCCAAAACCTCTGGAGCCAAACTCTCACAGTTACTGCTATGGAGCCACATATCACCTATTCTATACCTGTGCATTCATTTTTTCTTGCCTAAGTGTAAAGCCATATTATTCTCACCACTGAAATGCAGAGATAAGTAATAAAAAAATATGGCCCCCATGAGATCCTTTGTAACTGAAGCAGCAGGAAACATTCAATGTAACCAACACTCACAGCTTTTGGAACCCAGTTCTCCTTCTCAATTTCAGTTGATCTTCTGTGTCTCACAGGACTCCTAATAAGGAGTGGTAAGGCCACACTTGGACTTCTGCCTCCAGTTTTGGTCACCACAATGTAAAAAAAGATGTTGAGACTCTAGAAAGAGTACAGAGAAGAGCAACAAAGATGATCAGGGGACTGGAGGCTAAAACATATCAGGAACAGTTGCTGCAATTGGGGATGTCTAGTTTAACGAAGAAAAGGACGATGGGGGGACGTGATAGCAGTGTTCCAGTATCTCAGGGGCTGCCACAAAGAAGAGGGAGTCAAGCTATTTTCCAAAGCGCCGGAAGGCAGGACAAGAAGCAACGGGTGGAAACTAATCAAGGAGAGAAACAAGTTTAAGTTTTTGAAGAAACTGGACAGCCATTTGTCCGAAATGGTATAGGGTTTCCTACCTTGGACTAAATGACCTCCAAGGTCCCTTCCAACTTTATTATTATTATTATTATTATTATTATTATTATTATTAACCCTCAACTAAGACTGCAGGGATATTTCCAACTCTGCATATATTCTCTGTCTTCAGAGAAATAGAAATCACCTGGATGAGGGAGGAATACTTCAACGAAAGCCAAATCAGTCTGTGCTTCATCTGAGTGCCACAAAGACCCACCAGGAAGCAGAGCAGCTGTTTTCCCAAAACCCACCCATAAAAATGTGTCGCCCATGATAGCAGTGCCAACCCCAGATTTCCACCACTTAGTTCTAAGGGCTCTTCCCATAGTCCAGCCATTGGTGAACCTGGCCGAGCATTATCATCGTGGACTATAGAGTTTGGGCAGCAATTCAGTAAGGAATTTTCTTTGACCCATTCAGACACTGCAAGTCCTGAGCCTCCCATCTTTTATAGCCATAGCAGGTTAGATGTTCAACTAAGTCTGCTGCTCTTCTCAGGGCTTTTGTAACAGCTAACAAACAGGAGTGTTTCAATACAAGGAAGATGCACCGTTGCCTTAGGTAAGAACTATTTTGCAACAGTTCACTGAGGTGATATGATGCAATCATTACAACTCCATAAATAGAGAGCCAAGTCTGTCCAAGGAGTAAGATTTTGTCCAGAACCAGTCTCAGCATGAAGATCCTTTATCTGCTGTTCGCATTTCTTTTCCTTGCATTCCTGTCTGAACCAGGTAAGAAATAAAATTACTGATAATTTACAAAGGATTGGTAATTCACACCTTTTTAAATAAATACGAATATCACTGAAAGCAGGATAATCTCCAACATCTTTTTGTTTTACTTTACAGAAATAGCTTTGAACAGTATAGACAATTGACAACATGAGCCTCCAAAGATTTGAAAAATATGCCATTGATTTTTCTTTTGATTCACAATTCTTGAAAGAACTTTATTGGGGGTTTTGTTATTATAGCTTATTTTTGTTGATTTGCTTCACTTTAACATTGGTTTACCAAATTCTCAGCTCACTCAAGGTCTTCATCCAAAACACACAATGCAACTGGCCACTGTAACTCAGCAAGGATCCTTGGCAATACTGGAGAGAAATATATCACAGTAAGGTCTATTCTTCATATGAAATAGAATTATTTCTTCCCTCCTACATTAATAGATGTAGGCTTACCAGCTAATTCATCTTTGAGTCAGACTTCAAACCTGGGTTAATGGCTGATTTATTTGAGCTGCTGCAGGAGATCAGCAGAGATGGATCTGTGTGGTCAGAGAAATCTTGCTGTGGTCCTAGGAATCCTGCAATTGTTGGAAGGATGCTTCCATTCCCATCTTGGATGAACGGTTACAAAAGCTGATGGAGTTAGCAGAGATGGCTAAACTGACAGTTTTGATAAAAGAAAAGAATATAAGTACTTTTGTTTGTACTTGGATACTGCTTCTGGACTTTGTGCTATAATTTGCTATAATTTGTGCTATAATTCTATAATTTCACACAGTCTCATTCTTCCCTTTCGGTTTATTTATTTATTGTAGTGATTACTTTGCCACTGATGTCTTCCAGCTAATGTAGTTGCTTGGGCAGAAATAGTATAAAATCAGATTTAAGCTTTTCACTAAGATCTTGGAAAGAAGCAGAAAAAAAATTCTTAAGATTATTTTTTCTCAAGTTAAATACCATTTTGAATACCATTTAAATACAACTTAGAATAAGAATGACTTTGTCTGATGACTTAATATCAGCACAGCCTGGATCTTGATAAAGATAAATATGCCATTGATTTTTCTTTTGATTCACAATTCTTGAAATAACTTTACTGAGGTTTTGTTAGGGACCTCGGAGTCCTAGTAGACAATCACCTAAATATGAGCCAGCCGTGTGCTGCAGCTGTCAAAAAGGCCAACACAGTGCTAGGCTGCATTAACAGAGGGATAGAATCAAGATCAGGTGAAGTATTAATACCACTCTTCAATGCCTTGGTAAGGCCACACTTGGAATACTGCATCCAGTTTTGGTCACCACGATGTAAAAAAGATGTTGAGACTCTAGAAAGAGTACAGAGAAGAGCAACAAAGATGATTAGGGGACTGGAGGCTAAAACATATAAGGAACGGTTGCTAGAATTGGGTATGTCTAGTTTAACGAAGAGAAGGACAAGGGGGGACATGATAGCAGTATTCCAATATCTCAGGGGCTGCCATAAAGAAGAGGGAATTAAGCTATTTTCCAAAGCACCTGAAGGCAGGACAAGAAGCAACGGGTGGAAACTAATCAAGGAGAGAAGCAACCTAGAACTAAGGAGAAACTTCCTGACAGTGAGAACAATTAATCAGTGGAACAACCTTCCTCCAGAAGCAGTAAATGCTCCAACACTGGAAGTTTTTAAGAAGAGACTGGACAGCCACTTGTCCGAAATGGTGTAGGGTTTCCTGCCCGAGCAGGGGGTTGGACTAGATGACCTCTAAGGTCCCTTCCAACTTTACTACTACTACTACTACTATTACTATTACTATTATTATTATTATTATTGTAGCTTATTTTTTTTGGTACGCTTCACTTTAGTATTGGTTTACCAAATTCTCAGCCAAATATGTTTTGTTTGAATAAGGAGGCACAATAGAGAAACAGTTTGGTCTAGTGATTAGAGCAAAACACTGCAACTCTGGGTACTGAGTTCTAGTCCCACCTTGGGCCTGAAAGCTGACTGAGTGAATTTGGCTAAACTGACAGTTTTGATAAAAGAAAAGAATAAAAGTACTATTGTTTCTACTTGGAAATTGCTTCTGGACTTTGTGCTTGAGGTGGAAAAAAATGATACTATGATTTTGGGGTTTACTGATTAGACTGATTTGTTGATAGAGAAATGACTAGTTCATACTAATACAGAAATGAAAAAAGTTGAGATTCGATTTTCATGCCTTATTTTACTGCAACAGGGAATCGGAAGTCAACGCCTTTTGTTTTTCCCCCAACTTTCCACATTTTCCCTTTTCCTATTGTTTTTCCTTACTATTTGCTTTTTATTTTGATATTTTTATGTTCTAAATGAATAAAAATATAAATTGATAAAGGAATCCTGCAGTTCTGTAGAAGAAGGTAGTGTCTTGGAAGGGAAAATATATTTAAATATTAAGGAATCTTTACTCATCGTTTACCTGTCTCCTCTTTTTCTTTTCATAGGGAATGCCCAACCACGGTGTCGTCGTCTAGGAGGAAAATGCTTTCGCAAACGATGTCCTCCGAAACATGTTTATCTTGGGCGGCAGGACTGTTGGCAGCGACGGAGGTGCTGTAAAAGGTAAGAAAACTCTCCTCCAATAGAGATACTACAGATACAGTACATAATGAGATGCTCTGCCTGATATTGTTTGCATTCACAAAGCTTTGCAAAGCAAAGAATTGACTTTAAACTCACTTTGATCAACTTATTATTTTTTTTTCATTTGTATAGGGAAAGTGGAAAATAATGCCATCTCCATCTAGGACCATGGATATCTTCAAGATATGGCCAAGGACCTGAGAGTGCCGCCTGCTATCGCTTCATCTTTCTTTATCTAAATCAAATTGCTACCCATCAAACTCTAAAACATTTGTGGGGAGAGAGAGGGGGGAGGGAGGGAGAGGGAGGGAGAGCGGAAGGGAGGAGGGGGAGAGAGGAAAGGAGGGAGAGGGAGGAGAGGGGGAGGGAGCGGAGGGAGGAAGAGACAAGAGGGAGAGAGAGGGAGGGAGGGAGAGAGAGGGAGGGAGGGAGAGAGGGAGAGAGGGGAGGGAGAGAGAGCGGGGGGAGGGAGAGAGAGAGAGAGGGAGGGAGAGAGGGAGGGAGGGGGAGGGAGGGAGAGAGAGAGGGAGGGAGAGAGGGAGGGGAGAGAGAGAGGGGGAGGGAGGGAAGGAGGGGGAGAGAGGAGGGGAGGGGAGGGAGAGGGAAGAAGCGAGGGAGGGGGAGAGAGAGGGAGGGAAGGAGGGAGGGAGGGGGAGAGGGAGGGAGGGAGGGAGGGGGGTGTTGCCTGCTCTTCAACCACATATTATGCTATAATTTCACACAGTCTCATTCTTCCCTTTTGGTTTATTTATTTATTGCTTTGGGATTACTTTGCCACCGATGTCTTCCAGCTAATGTAGTTTCTTCGGCAGAAATAGTATAAAATCAGATTGAAGCTATTCACTAAGATCTTGGAAAGGAGCAGGAAAAAAATTCTTAAGGTTATTTTTTCTCAAGTGAAATAGCCTTGGATACAACTTAGAATAAGAGTGACTTAATATCAGCACAGCCTGGATCTTGATAAAGGAAATGAAGATGCAGCAATAGGAAATCCGCAAGAGAGAGAGAGAGGATCCTTTCCTGGCCCAATCTTTTTGTTAAACAGACAGACCAACAGATGTTATGAAATTGATTAGATACCATCTAAACAAATAGATAGACTACACAATAAAACCAAATTATCTGAGGTGAGTCACATAGGACCTGATGCAGGCAAACAAACACAGCCAACATGTGAGGGATACTATTGTGGACACTATTACACCTATGCTAATAAAAGGGTGTGATCTAACAACGTACACAGGTGAAAACATAATTTGCACAACCAGTATCCATACAAGCCTGAACCTATTCAATTCCTCCCCCCTCTCAACTTTCATTCACACACTTTCTACTTCTCTTTTATTGCAATGTCTAAATTTATAAGGGGATGTAAATATTTAACCTGTGGCATAAATCATCGAATAAAATGTTAAAATCTCAACTATGAATCAGACTTCACTGAAAATAATTATTAAAATACAAATAGTAATTACCAAAGTAGGTCTAACATATATCCATTCTTTATTAACCTTTTAATGCAGCATTTTTTACAACACAGGCAGGGTACACGTAACACAGAAATCAGCTAGAAGCATCATGGCAGTTCTAAAGCAAAGGATCTTCACAGCTTGACACTTTATTGTTAAACAACATGTCAGTTTGTTCCCATTTCCCTCTCTGCACATACAGTACTCATTACACAAGATAATTGGCCGTTTCTGGGGTAACACCAGGAGCTCAACATTATTTCTAGACTTCAGTGCACTTTTAGAAATACAGCTAGCCTCTACCTGCTCCCTGCGGTTCTTGGGCAAAGAACTACATTACTAATAATTGACTTTCTTTTCAGATTGGCTAGTTTTGCCATGTGTAGCCTCACTGACCCTCTAATACTCACTGCCTGTGAGGGCAAGGTGGGCAGGGGGGAGTCCTCAGAAAGGGGCTCCCCCCTCAAGGCAAAGAGCCCTTTCTAACTCCAATTCTGTCACTGGCAGGAGAAGAAAGGAGGTTTGGGTCTAGTAAACCCTGCAATGTTCTCCTCTCTTCTCCAGCCCTTCTTGTTCAGCTGAGTGAAAGAGTCCAACGGAAGAGTGAGAAATTCCTACACCTGCTGGCTCTTCCTGATGATGCAAGGAACTAAGCCTGTTGCTCCTGTACATCAACACATACTTCCCCGAGTTCCCCCAGGTGGCAGCCCATAATTATGTTCCAGGAAAATATGGGGTAGCCGTATTTAGTTTGCATCTAAGGTGATGTTGACTGCATAACGATTTCATAATAGTGTGAAGAGAGGCATTGTGTTGTAAGGTTTTGAGACTGTTCCTCCACCGACCTAGTCTTTATGTGCCCCAGATGAGGAATGGGAGGGAGACAAAATCTGGCCTTGGAGATCGAAGCCACGGGAATCCTGCAGAAGCAGCCTGGATGGCTTCCGGAGGGGGCAAGGCTCAGTGGGAGAGCTATCTAGGGGCATCTAGGGGTGCTGGGGAGAAGGGAGGGATCTTCCACTCAGAGTTGCCCCCTTGATCTTTCCTCTCTCCCGCAGAGCTGCTCTCCCTCCCTCCCCCGATGGCAAATGTCTCCCACACCAGGAATGGCTTCGGCTGGACTTTCTGCTCTGGCCCCAAGAGGCCCTGGGGAAGAGACCCTTCCCAACACCCCCTGCCCAGGAGCCCTCAGACCAGGGAGATGGACATCAGGGCGACCTTCCCAGAGATCAAGGCCATTGGCCACAGGACCACTCAGGGCCTTTTCTGAGGGGGGGTCTCAGATGAGCTCCAGTTGGGGGCCACAAGTGAGACTCTCACAGGACTCCCTCTGTTGGGGACCATTGGGTCAGGATGGGGTCCTCCACCCAGGACATGAAGCAGGAGGAAAAAAACTTTGGCCAAAATGCAGCTTTTTCCTTGTGTGGATTCAGGTCTGAAAATGCCTCAGTTTCCCTCTTTCGCTTTCGCTTTCTCTCCCCTTCCTCTTTCCACGCAGCCGCTCCGACTCCGACTCGGCCATTTGGGGGGGGGGCGATAGAGGGGCCCGGCTGCGACTCCCCACTTCTGCTACAATCGGGAAAGAGGGGGTCCCTCTCCGCCCTCCTGGGGGGGAAGTGGGGAGGGAAGGGGGAGGAGACCACGCAGAGATCGAGGCTGTCGCCGGCTCCCGTCACTCTTACCCTCTGAAGAGCTAGCAGCTTTCTTCCCCCTCTGCCCCCCCCACGAGTCTCGGCGGTGCTTCCCAGCCCCCTCCTCCCCCAACCCTCCCCCCGCCCAGCCCCCTCCTTACCGGGGGTCTCCTTCCCCCCTTCGCTTCCGGGGATCCGGGCCAGCGCTCCAACTACCAGCAGCAGCAGCATCAGGGGGAGCCCAGCGGAGCCCATGGACGCCGCCCCACAAGCGCCCCAGAGAGACCAGAGACGGAGACGCGGAGGCTCCCAGCCCCAGAGGCAGAATCAGGGGGTCTGGATTGGGGGGGGGAGGAGGCATTTCCCTCGAACTTCGGAACTGGGCGGGCCCAGAAGAAGCAGGAGGACCAATCGGAATTCTCCCTTCCGTAGCGTCATCGGTCTCCGGGCAGAGCCTCCCTTGACTTCACCCGATGGAGGAGACAGTTCCGCGCAGAGGGAGAAGCGGAGAAGGGGGGCGGATTTTATGGGGAGAGGAATCGGCCCTGGGACCCCCTCCCCAGAATCGACCCTCTTGAGGTTGGCTCCGTTCCTCTGGGTGGGAGTGGAGGGAATATTTTGCTAGAAGAAGGGAAAAAAGAATCCATATCCATGGACTGGATGTATAAGAGGATCCGCGCAGGTTTTCTCCCTTGTGAAAGATCTCAATGCTATTTTAAGAAGGATGGAGGGAGGGGTGATCCCATGGGTGCTCTCACCTGTCATTGCCAACCTCTACATGGATCATAAAATCGGATCACAAACCCAAACTCTGGCTCAGATAAGTAGACGACCTTCCCTAGCAGCCTAGGGAGGCAAGAAGCCCCATTGAAGGACAGCAGAAGTCACTTTCCTGGCTGTTGAACTATCTCCATCCAGCATGACTTTCTGGACATATTCTAACAGGAAGGACTTAGACCACTAGAGAACACTGCCCCAAGGGGTCTATCTGTGACTTTTCTCTAACCTGCTTTTCTCCAGCTACCCCTCCTTACATGGAAGAAGTTCAGGGTCCCAAGAGCAGAAGCTCCTTCTCAGGGCAATCATCACCATCCCTGCCTCTGAGACCTCTTCTCCTACGTCTCCAGGGACTGCCTTTGATGTAAATATCAGACAGAAGCAACATGGAAGGGATCTTGCCTCAGAAAAGGATAAATATCACAGGTTATGCTTTTTTTGGCTCACATTACAGGACAGACAGGAACTGCTCTTGAATGTATTTTCTCTCTCTTTCAAGTGAATCTTGGTTTCTCTGTCTGAATCAGGAAAGGCACTGGATATTCCACTCTGTCAGAGTGCTTTGAATTCTAATTCTTTTTTTAGAAAGAGGAAGGAGATTGATTCTGCCGCATGAGTTATTGACCTTAATAATAATAATAATAATAATAATAATAATGATGATGATGATGATGATGATAAAGTTGGAAGGGACCTTGGAGGTCATCTAGTCCAACCCCATGCTCAGGCAGAAAACCCTATCCCATTTCAGACAAATGGCTCTCCCATTTCTTCTTAAAAACTTCCAGTGTTGGAGCATTCACTACTTCTAGAGGCAGGTTGTGCCACTGGTTAATTGTTCTAACTATCAGGAAGTTTCTCCTTAGTTCTAGGTTGCTTCTCTCTTTGGTTAGTTTCCACCTGTTGCTTCTGGTCCTGCCTTCAGGCACTTTGGAGAATGCTTCTGCTTCTGTTTCTGATGCAGCTGCTGTCCCAGCCACTCTATGGGAAGCTGAGGATGAAGTGCCCACTGAATTTGGGCCACCAGGATGGAGAAAAGCCATGGAGCTATTATAGGCCAGGAGATCTTCTCATTGGTATAGTCATCTCTGCATCAGGAATAACACCTAAAACATTGCCTTTCAATGTGGCTCCATCTAGTCAGATTCAGTTGTAAGTCATGCGATGGAGTTTCATTCCCTCCATTTGCAGTTCTAACACTCTTCTTTTTTTCTTCTTGTTTTACTTACTCTTACATTGCAGGATCTGACAGATTTCATTAACACAGCCTCTCCCTTTTGCCTTATTTTCTGAAATTAGAAACATGAGGCAAATGAAACCTGAAAGAAGTCCACATTATTTCCCTTTCTCTGTTCAATTCTAAATCCATGGCTGGAATATTTA